TCAGAGCCTGGAGTCTGTTTCAGATTCTATCTCCCTCTCTCTCTGACCCTCCCCTGTTCACAATTTCTCTCTCAGAAATAAGTAAAACATTAAAAATTTTTTTTAAAAAAGTAAATTAGTATCTTCACCATCTTCCTGAAAAATACAAAGACATTTAAGTCCAATTACACAACTCTTGACTTATGTAAATGTTATTTCCATGAACTTTAGTTCTTTGTTTTTCTAAACTTCAGACGTGTGTTTGTTGCTGTTGGTAGTTAAATACAGTAGATGTTTGTTTAGATTTACCACATACTTGCTATTCTTTTTCTGTCATCTCAAATCTCCCAGCTGGGATCACTTTCTTATTTCAAGTATCCTATGAAATTCCTCTTAGTTGATTGTCTGCTAGCAGCAAGCTTTGTTTGTATTATTCTAAGGATTATTTTTTATTCTCACAGAGTTGATGATTATTTTATCTCTGAACATTAAATATAACTCTTCATTGGTTTACATTTTTGCTGTTAAAGCAGTCTGTTGTTAACTACCTTTCCCTTGAGGGTAATTTCTGCTTTTCTATTCAGATACTTTCAACATCTGCTCAGTTGTCTTTATGGATTTTATGATGTGTCTCAACAGGAATTTTTAAAAATATATCCTACTAATATTTCGGTGGGATCCTTGAGTGTATAGATTGGTGTCTTTTGTTAGCTTTTGAAATTTTTCAGACTTATGTCTTCAAAATAGCCTCTGCCACATTTTGTCTACCCTCTTCTCTGGAAACTCTGAACTTTCATTTAGTTCTCAATGTCTCTTACCATTTCTTTCATCCTTTCTATCCCATTTGGCTTCTGTCCTGCAATGTTGGTAATTTACTCAGCTCTATATTCTAGATTCATATTTCTTCTCTGAATGTGTCTAATTTGCATTCAGATATCTATGGAATTTTTAAACTGAATCTAAGTTTCTTTGTTTTTCATATAATTTTCCTACTTGTTTTTATAGTATCATTTTTCATATTTCCAAACTTTTTTCTATTTCTTGAAAAATACTAAATATATTCAATTTATATTCTGTAGTTTCTTTTTTCTGCTTTTGAGTCTTCTTCCTGTTGTTCTGGCTCTCACTCACAGAGCCTTGCTTTTTTATGTGCCCATTGATGTCAGACTGTATAATCTTATTTCTTATCTGTAGAATACTTTTAAAGTCTTGGAATAATGGCAGCATCCTCCATACGGTATTTGTATTTTCTTCTATCAGGAGGGATTACGACTCTGAAAACAGAAACTTTAACTAAAATTATCAGCTAGCAGTGATTCAGACTACTCAGTATAAACCCAAACTCAAAAAATATGTGATCCCATTTATAGTTCATAATTCTTTTTTCTCTTTTTAGCCTTTTGGGTGGTGATTTACAAAAAAACAAACAAACTCTATTTTACCACTATCCTGAGAATATATCCTTTGAGATCTCAGCTTGTTGTGCAATATTTCCTTGTGTGAGCCCTGGGCTTTGTCTCCTATCCATCTCTGTCCCTACCACACAAACTCTGGCTTTAAAAACAGAGCACAAGTTTTCACAATAAAAGCTGATTTTTATTCACCATTTATTTCTCTGGGTTCCCAATTTCATTTGATTTCTAGATTCTTAATAGTCTTATACTGTCTTTTTTTTCCACTAATCAAAAGATTTCAAAATATGTTTATCCAACATGTGTATTTGTTTTTAGTGACAGGTTCAGTAAAGCTCTCTAATGTGCCCCTAGATGGAAACGGAATGCAGCTCTATCATTTCTGCCTTATGAGGCATGTGGCATTTCATACTATTTGATCATGCAAATTGCCACATTAGTTTCAGTCTTAGATATAGTTTAATCTATTTAATATTCAGTACCCATCCTTCTGTCCTAGTTCTTTGGTCTTCATGACTGAAATTTATTCTGATAGTTTCATCAAGAAGTTCCTAAAAACCACATTCCCAGAATTTTGTTTAATGCTTAAAACTGTTGGTAGTAGTAACCTTTTAAATTAAATGTCAGTTTTGCTAGGTATAAAATCTGAGTTTTACACTCACTTGTCTGAAGACTTCTGGTGCATCTCACCTTCATTTAATGTTAGCTTATTATGTTTTGTAGAAATGTAGGCAGGCTAACTGGCCTGCTTCCAATTGAGATGGGTGGGTGAAACTTCACAAACTTTGCAGTAATGTGTGTTTTTCTACTTACATGTTCATATATTTTTAATTTTTAAAGAATATATTTTATTAATTATAAAACAGAAGAACTTTATTTTTGTTTGGATAATAAAGAATTTTTTTGCCAGCTGTAACAGTACAGTCCATCTTATTAATATTGAGATACTGTTAATATCTTCATTACACTAAGTTTGATATCTTTTCTTCTTATTCCTAGCTTCAATATTTTCAACAAATATCCTTCAGTAGTAGTAGTATAATAATGTTTGAAGAGCATATTGAGTCAGTAGTCTTTTCCCCAAAAACATTAATCCTAGCTAAATGAAGAATAAGTGACAAAATGAATCCAAGTCTGGCTGGTTCAGATATAGAGAAATAACAATAAGGAAACATAAAATCTAGAAACATAAATTGTTTTTATTGTGTATGTACATATCTTTTGTATGTTAGATGGTTTCTTCCTGCCCTGTTGTAAAATAATAGAGAAGTCTACTATTTTATTCATTTCCAGGCAATGAGAAGTCAACTCAAAATTCAGGTACCATAATTTCCATCAGTATATTTGGGTTCTTAGAAGAGAAGTCCCTGTAGTTTTGAAGATGAAAGGGTCATCATATAGAAAACTTCCCACGGCAAAGAATAAACTTTATGCACCATCGTGTGTACCTGATGTTTTCATCATTTTCATCATTCATTTATATATTTTCATTCTTGAAGCTAGTCATATACTGCTATCAAAGAAAATATAAAACTAGAGCTCACAACACATAAAGTGCTCTTTTAGGGATAGAACACGAGTTTTGGAATTAAAAAGTTAATTTAAGTAAATGAATTTGTATGAACTCAAATATTCTAATCTATATTTTATACACTGAAGCACAGTTAGTAATAATTGGGTTCTTAGTGTCAGGGAATAGTAAATTGGTCTCTAATAAATAAATCACCAAAAGATTATGAAAACCAGTACATCTAGGCCTTTTCCATATGTACTAAAAAAATGGTTTAATGGGAAAGAACTCTGAATTATAGGGCTAACAAAAGCAGCATCCTACTAAACTAATTCTAAGATGAGAAGCAGAATTAACAAATACAGAAAACACACAGAAATGGCAAAGCATATAATAATCTTTTTAAAATAACACAGCTAGATGTCTGTCAATTCTAGTCAGACTAGAATCCCTTTCCTCTAAGTCTGCTTTCAGACTGGAGGATGTAAGTAGACACTAGCTATAAAACATTACTTGGCTGGAGACTTCCTCTGGAAAGAGGGGGGGGGGGTCTCATGGTCTCACATAGTAACCAAACTCAGCTATGAATTCATAAAAATTGCTTGTAGGATGTGACAAAATCTTGAGTTCTGTCACCAATACTGTTGAGTGGCTGCCACCTGAAATGAGTTAAAACAGCTTGTATAAATGAATCCTCAGTTTCCATCATGAATTCTTGGAATACATAAAGATAAAGAACAAAATAATCTACTTTTCTAGTCTCAGGAAGGTGGGTTACCAAACACCATCCCAATGGGCTAAGACTGAGTCATGGCAACAATATTTAATTTGGTCACTTGAAGCTACTCACATTCATATGCTAGCCACTTATTTCTTCATATTCATAGAGGACATGTCTCCCAGGTCTTATTTTATTATTTCTCAACATGCATTCTCCTCACAGCCAAAGATTTTCCAGAATACTCACTCAATAAACAATTAGTAAAAATAAGTATTTAGCAGACCATCATATATCTTAACTTCTAATGGTGATGTGCTGTCAGTTTCCAGGAGGGTGTGAGTAAACTTATTTCCATCTTAATTTGTTTTTTCAGTGAATACAGGGGAAAAAATCTGGTAGGAATTTAAGAACTCAGATAAAAAGCAGTATTATTACTGTTACAGATGCTTCCTACTTTAGGACGATGACCTTCAGAAAGATTATAGAATGTGCCACTTATCTTTCATTTCTCTTTACATAAAATATATCTGTTGACCAACTTCCTCATGGCTGTCTTTACTTCCTTATTTCGCAAGGTATAGATAATGGGATTAAGTAAAGGAAATATCACAGTATGGAACACAGACACCACTTTATCTAGGGAAAAAGAGTCAAATGGGCGAGCATAAATGTAGATGGATGGCCCAAACATAAACACCACAATGGTGATGTGGGAATAGCAGGTGGACATGGCCCGGCTGGTACTCTCACCTGAGCCTGAATGTTTCTTAAGCATGGCCAGGAGGAAGGCATAGGACATTAAGAGAGCAATGAAACATACCACAGAGATCAGACCACTGCTAAAAATCATCACCAATTCCTCTGGGAAGGTGTTGGCACAAGCAATCCGGACAACCTGCGTGATGTCACAGAAGTAACTGTCTAACTCATTGGGCCCACAGAAGGGAAGTCGAACAATGAGAGCCACTTGTATTATAGAATGAATAAATCCCCCCAACCAGGAAAGAGCCACCAGGATACTGCAGAGACGTCGATTCATGATAGTAGCATAGTGGAGAGGACGGCAGATAGCAGCATAGCGGTCAAAGGCCATTACTGTGAGAAGGAACATCTCTGAGGCTCCAACAAAGTGCAAGAAAAAGAGCTGCGCAATGCACCCACCAAAGGAAATTCTCTTCCTTTCCACAAAGAAGTCTACGAGCATTTTAGGGGCTGTGATGGAGGAGTACCAAATGTCAAGGAAGGCCAGATTAGCCAACAGGAAATACATGGGTGAGGTCAACTGAGGGTCAAGCCTGATGGTGCAAATAATAAGAATATTTCCTGGAAGGATGAACAAATAGAAGGATAGAAATATAACAAATAGGACTAGTTGTACCTCTCGAGTCTGGGATAGACCAGTGAGAACAAATTCTGTCACCTTGGTATAATTTGCAGGTTCCATTTCTTCAATTTTTAAAAATAAAAGGCTATAAGAAATAAAGAAATTACAATTATTCCAAACATTTAACTAGATTCATTTACTGCTTTTGAAATCATCAGATTGGCCTCTATCATTAAGAGATTGTATTAAGATGCATTTGATTGTCCCATTTGATGTATGATAAACCAAAATAGGGAAAAAGTAAATGATGACCTGAAAATTAGAAACACTGAAACCATATGAAGTGTGTCACATATCAGAAACCAAAATCCCAATCTATTAATGTTATTAATTTCTATTTTTTATGAAATTCAGCAGTGCACTAATTCTTTCCCCATACATCTATCTTTATAAAAAATACGTACAGCTACTAATGAGGTAAGCCAAATTGTAGGCTGGTCATAAGAAAAGCAGCTGTTATTTCTAGATTTTTTGTTGTTGTTGAGAAATCTAGCCAACTTGGAAACTTACTTGTCTAGTATCAGGTACACTGTTCTGGCAGTATTTTATTTTTAATCTTTCAAAAAGATCCCAGGGCTTCATGTGTAGTGAATGGACATTTCTTCCTTAACCAAAGCCTATATAGCTTAATTCTTGATAATAGGTAAGCAGCCCCAATATACAACAATGCATGGCCATAGATGATAATTCTCTGGTCTATGATTACTGCACTAACCATGAATATTTTATCCAATGCCCCAGGAAGACAGGAAGATGATATAATGATCTAATAAATGGGTCTGCTTGCTACCCAAGCTGACCCATTCTGTCATTTCAAGATGATGGTGGGAATAAGATTATTGCTAAAATTTTACTCATAGCCTAGTCTTGAACCTACTAGTATTAGATAAAACAAAACCTGTCAAATAAAAATAAGATAATCATTCACTTTACCAAATATGCTTCCTCTTCTAAGTAATATAAAAACTGCCCATCAAAGTATTTCTTATAGCCAACAACCAATACCAAAGAGTTGCTTCTGTTCAACTGATATATTATTTTATAATAACTTATGTATCCTATTGACTGAAGTAAACCAGTGTCTCTTCCCTGGAAGCTACCTACTCAATTTGTGCATAATTTTAATGACCATAGACATATGACTTTCAGATCTAATATGTTATAAAAGCATTCATAAAGAAGGGATGGTTCACTACAAGTAAACATACCGAGAAAAGACCAGTATTTGCCAGCAATCTGACACAAAAGGCAGAAAACAAAAACAGTCAGCAAGCTCAGCATTGTGGGACTTTTTAGTAAAAGGATAAATATACCCACACTCATGAATAGCCCAAGATTGGCCTTAGTGAGCTAATTAATCATGTTTAGTAAGACAGTGAAATTTAAAATTCAGTTTGGAAGATTTTTAATCAAAAGAAAGATAATGCTGCCACTTTTAAGTCCTCAACTTTCTTAAAAGCATGGTTATCCAGACTGACATATTTCCTAGGAATCCAGAAAGCAATGGTTTTACTATATTTACCCTCACCAGGTTTTACCTCCATAAAACTTTACACATGATACTGAAAGTTCTAACCCAGAGGCACTTGGGTGGCTCAGTCGGTTGAGCAAACGACTTCGACTCAGGTCATGCTCTCACGGTTCATGGGTTCAAGGCCCATGTCGGGCTCTGTGCTGACAGCTGGCTCAGAGCCTGGAGCCTGCTTCGGATTCTTTGTCTCCCTCTCTCTCTGACCCTCTCCTGCTCACGCTGCCTGCCTCTCCCTCCCTCCCTCCCTCTCTCTCTCTCTCTCAGAAATGAATAAAACATTCAAAAAAAGCTCTAACCCAAAACATATAGCTTCTGTGTCACTTCTATAAATTACTCATTACTCATCTGTTTATTCAACAACTATTTAGGGACTATCTTCTATGTGCTAACTGCTGAGGATATAACAATGAACAAGAAGATTTGGTTTCTGCCTCACTGAACTTCCATTTTAGAATATAGACAGACAACAAATTAGTAAACAAGCAATAAGTAAATAAGTGAACTATAAATAATCAAAACAAATAATTACCACTATTGATAAGAGACAAGAGGGAAGTAAAAAGGGACTATGATAGAGAATAAATGGTAGGCACATGGTGGTGGTGGTGATGGCTGTTTTAGAAAAGCCTCTTTGAACTAGCGACGTTTCTACTAACTTTGAAAACAGGAGAAAAGCATTTTAGTAAGAGGGAACAAATCAAAAGGCTTGTGACAGGGAAGAGTTTCTAGGAACTATGGGAGACCTGCAACTTACTGAAGAACAAAAATAGAATCGAGATAGCCAAAGGACCAAGAATTATGGTTTATAAAAAGAAAATTATATTTTAACAGCTTCCAATATATTTTAGAATAAAATCTAGACAATCACTTAACAAGATTTGTGATTTAGAAATATCACCCCTGCCACTTTGCAAATAAATTGAAATAGGATTAGGTGTGGCTTAAGCTACAGATAAAGCAACAGATATTAAGCACAATAAAGTGTTTTCTTTAGAAAATACTTAGGAGAGGGGCGCCTGGGTGGCTTAGTCGGTTAAGCGTCCGACTTTCGCTTGGGTCATGATCACGCGGTTCGTGGGTTCGAGCCCCGCATCGGGCTCTGTGCTGACTGCCAGCTCAGAGCCTAGAGCCTGTTTCAGTCTGTGACTCCCTCTCTCTCTGACCCTCCCCTGCTCACGCTGTCTCTCTCTCTCTCTCTCTCTCCTAGAAATAAATAAAACATTTAAAAAAAAAGAAAAAGAAAAAGAAAATACTTAGGAGATGCAACTGGCAAGATTTAATGTTGAATTGTATGTTGTTATTGCCCTGCTACCAAAGTCAGTTGGAATTTGAGCACCATAATGACAAACTATTTACAAATGTATCCTTATATCTTCTGTGTCAAAAATGAGGTTCATCCAGCACATTTAGGTTTTTAATAAAATTTGAATGAATCTGCCATATATATTTAGGAATGCTCTGTCCACACTCATGTCTGTAGAAATTGTGGAGGGAGCTAAGCCACCTATGAAACCTGAGATAGGGCATTTCCTTCCTAGGCTGCCATTTAGGAAATAGTTATTCCAAGCCACTGCTTATTCTTAGAGCAGCTGTGTTGCTTGGTCAAGCAAGTTTTGCTTCATCCTGCTTACACCTATGCCTCCTAAGTTTCTCGATACAAGTCCTCTCCTCTTTTCATTCTCTTTTAATAAAAAATGTATATATTTAGAGTGTACAACACAGCAATCTGATATACAAATTCATAGTAAAATGAGTACTATCCTCAAGTTAATATAATCTCTTCACACAGTTACCATTTTTTTCAGTGACAAGAACACCTGAAAATTACTCTCTTAGCAAATTTTCAGTACTCAATAGAGTATTATTAATAATAGTCATCATTCTGTACATGAGATCTCTAGACTTATTCATTCATCCTACATAACTGCAAAATTGTTTTTGACCAAGGTCTATTTTCCCCCACCTCTCTGTCCCTAGTAACAACCATTCTACTCTCACATGGCCTAAGAAATTGTGATATAATAATATATATACTTCTTTCCTTAAAAAAGAGAGAGAAAGCCTAACATTTACAACAATGTGGATAAACCTGGAGGATGTTATGCTGGATGAAATAAGCCAGGCAAAGAAATACTGCATGACCTCACTTATATGTGGATTCTTAAAAAGCATGCTCCTCTTTTAACATCTAGCGAATTCCCATTCTGTACTTAATCTTCAGGGATATACTATCTAGAGGATGACTATAGAGATATCTAGAAATACAGAGGCTCTCCCTACAGGTGAATGAACTGTGAACTCTCCTCAAGGGAACAAATACCTTGGGGAAAACTAAGAATCTGTACAGAACTTCCTTACCAAAAATGCTGTGTGCATCCATTTGTCTAGCCAAGCTCTCAGTAATCACACAGAAAATAGATATCTTGCCAGTAGAGACCTTGAGGAATTAGGGAGGCTATCACATAGATCCTGAAATAGTAAAAGATTAAACGATTCAAGAGCTATGTGGTTATGTAACTTCATACAAGAAGCATTTTTAAAATATTAGCCATCGGGGCGCCTGGGTGGCTTAGTTGGTTAAGCGTCCGACTTTCGCTTAGGTCATGATCTCGCGGTTCGTGGGTTCGAGCCCCGCGTCGGGCTCTGTGCTGACTGCCAGCTCAGAGCCTGGAGCCTATTTCAGAGTCTGTATCTCCCTCTCTCTCTGACCTTCCCCTGCTCACGCTATCTCTCTCTCCTAGAAATAAATAAAAATATTTAAAAAAATAAATAAAATATTAGCCATCATCTATGACCACTGTAGATTCTCTTTCCTTAGATGAAGATGTGAATGAAGAAGCCAGTGTCTCCCAGAGTAAAAGTCACTCATCCTAACCACTCCCAAAAACCAAAAGCTCACAACTGTAAGAACTGCTTTCAGACTCTGCTTCAATAACATCAGGTAGAAGGAGTAAGCTGAAACTGAGAGGCTGGGAAAATGGAAGAAAAATAAATGGTGTATTGATTATGTGGACAAAAGCTGTAAGAGAAAGAGGAAGCTATTAGTTCTGTATTTCTTCTGAGGATTAAAACAGTCCATCTTTATGTATCACATTGCTACCAGTGAGTATTCATTTAGATGAAAAAACAAAAAAGTTTTATAAAATAAAAATGTTCACAAACAGATTCATGATGATTATTGAAAATTCTTCCCCAAAGAAGAGAAATACTTTGGCCTTTCAAACCAACTGATCATGGGACTATGGTGAAGGCTGTGTAGAAGAGCTTTAGCCTTACTGAGCTAGGGAACAGAGCAAAGAAAATCCTGAGAAATAGGGACGAAGGTCGAGTGAGGAAGGGAGGCTCTAGGCAAACACAACAGGAAGGTACTAGATTTTTAGAAAATAGACATGTGGAGTTTAATTTTAAGGAGTACTCTACCTCAGTATGATCCATGTTAAAGTGAATCATTCAAAAAAAGATATTTTTAGAATAGTAGGATAAGGAATCACAAAAACAAAGTCATTATTTGAAATCTTTT